TTAGCCTCCGTGTGTTTGTATTTTTTACAGATTTTTTTCCTGTAATTGATATCTAGTCTCATAGCGTTATGTTCGGAAAAGATACTTGATACAATTTCAATTTTCTTACATTTACCATGGCTTGATTTGTGACCCAAGATATGATTTATCCTGGAGAATGTCCCATTAGCAGTTGAGAAAAATGTGTATTCTCTTGTTTTTGGATGGAATATCCTATAAATATCAAATAAGTCCATCTTGTTTAATGAATCATTTAAAGCTTGTGTTTCCTTATTTATTTTCATTTTGGAGGTCCTGTCCATTGTTAACCAATGGGGTGTTAAAGTCCCCTACTATGAATGTGTTACTGTCGATTTCCCCTATTATGGCTGTTAGTATTTGCCTTATGTATTGAGGTGCTTCTATATTGGGTGCATAAATATTTACAATTGTTATATCTTCTTCTTGGATCTATCGCTTGATCATTATTTAGTGTCCTTCTTAGTCTCTTCTAATAGTCTTTATTTTAAAGTCGATTTTGTCTGATATGAGAATTGCTACTCCAGCTTTCTTCTGCTTTCCATTTGCATGGTATATCTTTTTCCATCCCGTCACTTTCAGTCTGTATGTGTCCCTAGGTCTGAAGTGGGTGTCTTGTAGACAGCATATATATGGTCTTGTTTTTGTATTTATTGAGCCAGTCCATGTCTTTTTGTGGGAGCATTTAATCCATTTACATTTAAGGTAATTATCAATATGTTTGTTCCTATTCCCATTTCCTTAATTGTTTTGGGTTTGTTATTGTAGGTGTTTTCCTTCTCTTGTGTTTCTTGCCTAGAGAAGTTCCTTTAGAATTTGTTGTATAGCTAGTTTGGTGGTTCTGAACTCTCTCAGCTTTTTCTTGTCTGTAAAGGTTTTAATTTCTCCATCAAATCTGAATGAGATCCTTGTTGGGTAGAGTAATCTTGGTTTCAGGTTTTTCTGCTTCATCACTTTAAATATGTCCTGGCACTCCCTTCTGGTTTGCAGAGTTTCTGTTGAAAGATCAGCTGTTAACCTTATGGGGATTCCCTGGTGTGTTATTTGTATTTTTTCACTTGCTGCTTTTGATATTTGTTCTTTGTATTTAATTTTTGAAGTTTGATTAATATGTGTCTTGGCATGTTTCTCCTTTATTTATCCTGTATGGGACTCTCTGTGCTTCCTGGACTTTATTAAATATTTCCTTTCCCATATTAGGGAAGTTTTCAACTATAATCTCTTCAAAGATTTTCTCAGTCCCTTTCTTTTTCTCTTCTTCTTCTGGGACCCTTATTATTTGAATATTGGTACGTTTAATGTTGTCCCAGAGGTCTCTGAAACTGTCCTCAGTTCTTTTCATTCTTCTTTCTTTATTCTTCTCTGCAGTAGTGATTTGCAGTATTTTATCTTCCAGGTCACCTATCCATTCTTCTGCCTCAGTTATTCTGCTATTGATCCCTTCTAGAGTAGTTTTAATTTCATTTATTGTGTTGTTCATTATTGCTTGTTTCCTCTTTAGTTCTTCTAGGTCCTTGTTAAGTGTTTCTTGCATTTTCTCTATTCTATTTCCAAGATTTTGGATCATCTTTACTATCATTATTCTGAATTCTTTTTCAGGTAGACTGCCTATTTCCTCTTCATGTGTTAGGTCTGGTGATTTTTTGCCTTGCTCCTTCATCTGCTGTGTGTTTTTCTGTCTTTTCATTTTGCTTATCTTACTGTGTTTGTGCAGGGTGGAGGTTCATAGTTCCCATTGTTTTTGATGTCTGTCCCCAGTGGCTAAGGTTGGTTCAGTGGGTTGTGTAGGCTTCCTGGTAGAGGGGACTAGTTCCTGTGTTCTGGTGGATGAGGATGGTTCTTGTCCTTCTGGTGGGCAGCTCCACCTCTGGTGGTGTGTTTTGGGGTGTCTGTGGCCTTATTTTGATTTTAGGCAGCCTCTCTGTAATGGGTGGGGTTGTGTTCCTGTCTTGCTAGTTGTTTGGCATAGGGTATCTAGCACTGTAGCTTGCTGGTCGTTGAATGAAGCTGGGTCTTGGTGTTGAGATGGAGATCTCTGGGGGATTTTTGCCATTTGATATTATGTGGAGCTGGGAGGTCTCTTGTGTACCAGTGTCCTGAAGTTGGCTTTCCCACCTCAGTGGCACAGCCCTGATGCCTGGCTGGAGCACCAAGAGCCTTTCATCCACATGGCTCAGAATAAAAGGGGGACAATGTAGAAAGAAAGAAAGAAAGAAAGAAAGAATAAAGAAAGAGAATAAAATAAAATAAAAAAGTAAGATAAAATAAAATAAATTTATTAAAATTAAAAATAATTATAAGAAAAAATGTTTTTTTAAGTAAAATAAAAAGCAGATGAACAGAATCCTAGGACAAATTGTGAAAGCAAAGCTATACAGACAAAATCTCACACAGAATCATACCCATACGCACTCACTAAAAGAGGAAAAGGGGAAAAAATAATATATCTTGCTTCCAAAGTCCACCTCCTCTATTTTGGGTGATTCATTGTCTGTTCAGGTATTCCACCAATGCAGGGTACATCAAGTTGATTTTGGAGATTTAATCCGCTGCTCCTGAGGCTGCTGGGAGAAAGTTCCCTTTCTCTTCTTTGTTTGCACAGCTCCTGGGGTTCAGCTTTGGATTTGGCCCCGCCTCTGCGTGTAGGTCACCTGAGGGCGTCTGTTGTTCGCTCAGACAGGACAGGGTTAAAGTAGCAGCTGATTCGGGGGCTCTGGCTCACTCAGGCCAGGGGGAGGGAGAGGTACGGATGTGGGGAGAACCTGAAGCGGCAGAGGCCGGCATGACGTTGCAGCAGCCTGAGGCGCACCATGTCTTCTCCTGGGGAAGTTGTCCCTGGATCGCGGGACCCTGGCAGTGGCGGGCTACACAGGCTCCAATGAGGGGAGGTGTGGAGAGTGACCTGTGCTTGCACACAGGCTTCTTGGTGGCAGCAGCAGCGGCCTCAGCATCTTATGCCCGTCTCTGGGGTCCACGCTGATAGCCGCAGATTACGCCCGTCTCTGGGGCTCCCTTTAGCTGCACTCTTAATCCCCTCTCCTCGTGCACCAGGAAACAAAGAAGGAAGAAAAAGTCTCTTGCTTCTTAGGCAGGTGCAGAGTTTTTCCCGGACTCCCTCCCGGCTAACTGTGGCGCACTAGCCCCCTTTAGGCTGTGTTCACACTGCCAGTCCTCTCCCTGCGATCTGACCGAAGCCCAAGCCTCAGCTCCCAGCCCCGCCCGCCCGGGCGGGTGAGCAGACAAGCCTCTCGGGCTGGTGAGTGCTGGTCGGCACCGATTCTCTGTGCGGGAATATCTCCGCTTTACTCTCCGCACCCCTGTGGCTGCGCTCTCCTCCATGGCTCCGAAGCTCCCCCCTCCGCCACCCGCAGTCTCCGCCAGTGAAGGGACTTCATAGTGTGTGGAAACCTTTCCTCCTTCCCAGCTCCCTCCCACTGGTGCAGGTCCCGTCCCTATTCTTTTGTCTCTATTTATTCTTTTTTCTTTTGCCCATCCAGGTACATGGGGAGTTTCTTGCCTTTTGGGACGTCTGAGGTCTTCTTCCAGCGTTCAGTGGGTGTTCTGTAGGAGTTGTTCCACATGTAGATGTATTTCTGATGTATCTGTGGGGAGGAAGGTGATCTCCACGTCTTACTCTTCTGCCATCTTCCCCCTCACGTCCAGTTATGACATTTTAATTTATATTTTTAAGTAGGGCACAGCGGAATGGGACATGAGAGATCAGCCCTCTTCCTTTTCTTTTGTGTCTTCAATCTTTTCTCCTACTCCCTAATTAATATAAATTGCTTCCTTCATTTCTTCCCTTACTCCTCTAAAGTCAGAAGTGAGAGCAGATGGTAGTGTGGTTGGAATAGATAAATGTGATCAGCAGTGAGGGAGAACCTGTTTTAGTCACTTTTTTCTTTCAAAAATACAAAATGTATGCGTTAAATTGAGAATTATAATCACTTCACAAAACTGCATTAAAGAAAACATTTATGTAGAAAGTTTATGTACAAATATTTTATGCTGTAGGGATTGTAGCAAAATTAATACATTTTCAAGCATATTTTATTTTTCCTCCAATTTATTTTACTTTTTTTTTAGCTTTGCTCTATAGGCTTAAGTAGGAGTGATGGTTTATTTCTTAAATGTATGATGGTTTTTATGAGGAATGGAAAAAGCCTTAATTGGCAATGGCAAATAACCTAGAATCCCTGGAATTATTAATAGTTTGGACAATTATTATTTTCAGTCAGTCTCAATTAAACTTTCCATTGTTATATTTAATGTGTTAAATATTTAATAAACTTTTGTTTTAAGAATTTTCTACACATAAAAAAAATACTAAACTTTGCAAGACTCCAAATATTAAAATAAATGTATCATCTCTCTGAACAGTCAACTAAAAATAATCTAGCTTAAAGTCATATTAGTATTTTCTAATAATATGGGTTGTAAGATCTAAATAAAGAAATGTATAAGAAAAATCCCTTTGTGTTCTGTATTCTATTAAGATTTACTACATTTAATTTCTGTGAAAATAATTACTTGTTTAATTATTTTATGGGGTTTTCTTTTTAGTTTAAGTGCTCAATGGTATGATGATGTTCAGTAGTTTATGATCATTAACACCAGAAGGAATCATTTTTTAAATATAATTGTTTAAAATTTTCTGATGCATTAAGTATAAATTCAGAATAAAATATCATTTGTTATTATAATCTGTCTAAATTCTGGAGTAGACTTAGTTGCAATAGTCAAATAGTACAATAGAATTTCACGTGAAGTTATTACATTGTTTTCCTCATTATAAAGTCTTCCTAGAGACTTTATATTCTATTGATTTCACACCCCTTTCAATAATGTGCTAGATGGATTGAATCATTTGCACGGCCTGGACATATTATTGTTCTGTATTTCAGCTCCAAAGAAAAGAACCCATTTTGAGTGATATGTGGCTTTTTAATTTTTTTCCCCTTTCTTTCTTTCTTTTTTAATAGATCTTTAGTGATTTTGAGATTGAGCAGCATCAAGAATGTGCTTATGATCATTTGGAAGTATTTGATGGAGAAACGGAAAAATCACCAATTCTTGGACGACTGTGTGGGAACAAGATACCAGAGCCCCTTGTGGCTACTGGAAATAAAATGTTTGTTCGGTTTGTTTCTGATGCATCTGTTCAAAGAAAAGGCTTTCAAGCCACACATTCTACAGGTCAGTAATTTAGGGGATGCTTCTCTTTTCTGAGTAAGATCCAAGTGTCTCTTCTAGTGTGTGCAGGGGATCTATAACAGGATTATAAATGAACCAGAAGAAGTCTCACTGAAGCATTGTGTGAAATATTTGAGAACCACATATCATCCTAACTAAATATCTTTGTAGCTGTTGAACTAATTAAAAGAAACACAATAGTTTGATCTGGTTCATGTTCAGTGTGGTATGATCAAGAAGAACTATCTCTAAATATTTTTGTAGTGTATTCCATGTTAACTTTAGCAGTTTGATTTATATGTTATATTTAACAGATAGAAATCTATAGCTTGGAATTCAAACATTTTGTTTTTACTAAAATCCTACTTGTTTAGCTTTCACATTAATATATTTTTGTAAACCAAATTTGGAATATAACTCTCTGTTTTACAGAGTTTTATTTTTTCCCTTTTATTTGGTAGGCAACACAATCTTTTCCCTAATCCTAATCCCTAATTTGACTCACAGATTCCAGCTGTAATGGAAGTCTTTAAGAAATAAAATACAATTCAGAAAACTATGGAAAATTTTAAGCAAAAATGTCAAATAACTTTTTTATAATTTGGATCAAATTTATAATATATTCCATAAATGTCCAGTAAATATCATTTTTTAATTCAGCTTAAAAACAAACAAACAAAAAAAATATTTACTGAAATCATTTAGCTTATACTGACACCTAGTGGCAGTTCTAATGCCAAAACTATTGAGACACAAATCTATCTTGGTGTAAAATGCAGTATAATAGGCTACAAGTTCATCAATGAAACAATTTTAGTGCAGTAATTTTTGTCATGTTTTCCTGATTATTGTTTTCTCCTTTTATTTTGCTTTTATTTTAGAAAACATAACTTTATTCCATTGTCCAGTATTATTTTCCACTCTAGTATATTCCGTTATGAGCATTAGATTTATATTGAAGTCTATTTGTGAGAAAGTGGATATTGTCTGATTCATGCTAGTAATGACTGGACTCATAAATAATACAAAGTAATTATTTCTCATGATTAATATAAATATTCTGGTTTGAGAAAAACCTTTCATGGATTAAAATTTTCATACTAATGAAGAATTTTTTTATACACTTGACGTTTGCTCTTTAAATATTTTCCTGATAACTTGTCACACATTGAAGGAATGGAAAAAATGGAGTCCTATGACTTGATCAATATTTTTCTGAAGCACAGAGTTAATGGCACAATTTTTAAAATAATCGTGGCTGTCACAGGTTCTAAGAATGGAGTGTAAAAGTATGTTATCAAAACTCTTGAAATAGCTGATACACTGTTTTTAAATTACTTACCTATAAATTCCTCTGTCTTATTTCATAAAAACCTACTTTTATAGTTTCTCTTTTCATCTTTACCTTTACCTTAAATCTCAAGTTTTCTTGCAGCTATATAACTCCATGACTCCTTAATTTTCACAGCCTCTGCTCTGGACCCATTTCAGTGTTTGTATTACCATTTAGAATCCACTGTTAGGATCTAGTTATCTTATCATAGAGATCATATATTGAAATCCAATTGTATATATAGCATACACTTGATATTTCAGGCACATACATATACTTAATATAAATTACATACATTGAGCTCTCAAAAGAGCTATATGATGTATGAATTATTATCTTTATCTTCAGATAAAGAAATTTAAAATCTGAAGGATTAATTAATTTGCAAAGACTTCTAAAATTATATCAAAGCCTGGATTTTATCCTAATTCTGTTTCCAATACTCATACACTTTCTACTATGGTATATTTTCTCTTAACATAAACATTTTGGATCAGGAAGAAAGCAAATACAAAACTGGATCACTGTTAATTGAAACAATAGAGACTGAATGCTTCCTTATTTGTCTTAATCAAGCCTTCTGTCCTAACTATCCAACTGAATAGGCTCATTTTTTCTCCCTGTTCAGTTCAAATACCCACGTGATCAGGCTCAATCATAATTTGTAGGCAAAACATGATTCGGTCCTGTCATCTCAGAAATGAGGATTTTGAGACTAAGACTCAAATGAAACTGAAGTAGCACAAAAAATAACACTCAGAATTAGAGTCATAGCCTCCCAACTCCTCCTCGGTTGTGCTAGTCAAAATTTTTGGCATTACCTGTTTGTTTGTTTGCTTGTCTATTTTACATGTAAATTTTTGCTCTCACTTAACCAGCTGTCTTTGAATTTTCTGGGTAGATTTTATTTACACTGTTACTTTCAAGTAGCCATACATGCTGAAATATTCTTATGTACTGCTTACTATTTATTTCTTTTGAAAGCTTTCTCTTTAACAAGTTTATTCCACAGTCTTTCATGAAATATTTATTTGATACCTGCTTTGAATAGACACTGTAAAGTATTAGTAATTCATAGCAAAAAATTAGGAATTTTGTGGTAACTTATGAGAAAACAGAAGGAATTCCTGCCTTTTGACAGCTATAGTCTGATAAGTTAAACTTATGATTTTCAGTCAGTTTTTACCACCAAGACAGCCAAGTCCAGTACCACATCTGTCAATTTCTGCTAAATGTATAAAGTATTTATTCATTATTTAATGTTTTCTAGAATACATGTAACTTTTATTAAGGGGCCCTGAAGTATACATTTTAATTTGCTTGAGTAAATTTATATTTCTATATACAATTTTAATTTTATCCACAAGGAAAGCTTATAATACTACAAATTTTGAAATTAGGTGAAGAGAAATATTAATATTGCTTTATAGCTATTTTTTTTACAAGTAATACTATCCAACTCAATGGGAAATGGACTTTATTGGAAAAAGTCCCTTTTTCCTCTAAAGGTAGGTCCAAATACTAAAAGTCCAAATTAATTTTACTCAGGTAACAAATGGTGTTAGGCCAGCCTTAGATAAACTATTGAAGAAAAAAACTCAGTAAAAAAAAAATAACGTATATATTCACTCAGAGGATAAGGCTATAATACAGAAAAAGAGGGGGAGTGTGGAGAGAAAATATTTTAAAACATGGCATGTCAAGTAAGACTTTATTCTGCAGCAGAAAGCATCATCCTAATTTAAAAATCAAATAATATATTATTAGGCTCCTTAGAAATTATTTTGATAGAACTTAAATTATAGTGCCTACTAAAAGCATTTATTGCTCAAATTATAGGCCCTCACAGGGATTTAACACTTTACCAGGAAATGAACAGAAGTCTTTCCAAATTAAAACGAGGGCCACCCTTTCTGAAACATTTTAAGTCACTCTTAATTGTAGTTTAAGTCATTTGTTTTGAGTATTGTCATTTTCCAGAAGTTTTCAATAAAATCAAATAATGATGCCTCACATTTCAGATTCACAAAGGCTTTGTGAAATCTCTTTTTGTTTAAATACTTCATTTCCTTCTTGATTTCTGTTCTGATCTGGGGTTGACAGAGAATGGTCTCCTCTGGATCCTGATTTGTTTTGCTACTTTGTTTCTCTGAAGTAGGCACACAGAAGTCAGTGCTTCTCCCACAGTCCACCCCTTCCTGGGTTGTGGAATAAAAGTAATACAAGTGCTGACAGTTGTAAACAAAACAAATCACTGAATTATATCAAACTTTGAGAATAAGTCAAATTTTTAAAATATCTGTAAATGAGATTACACTGGTTTATACATTTATATATTGAATTCAGAAATACTTTCACAAAATATTTTACTGGCCTTCAAAAATATAATCCTTCCTTTCTGAAAACAGGTTAATAGTGCTTTAAATTGTTTTTCAATTTTTCTGGCTTTTCTGTTCATGCTTGAGTGGATCTCTAGGAGTATAGATGGTGGCATTTAGATATTCTGACTAGAAAATAATAACAAAATGATAATTGTGTATACTTATATGGCTTTTTCTATGTGCAAGGTATCCTTCAATGATTTTACATATATTAGCCCATCACTCTTCATCTAGACCCTATCATTTGAGTACTATGTATGATCCCCACTTTAGGAATGAAGTGGGGGACAAAATCCCACAGCTGATGAAGCATAGAGCTCAGATTTGTACCCAGACCCGTTAGCTGTGGAGTTCTGTCACAGGGAGAGGACAATAATTCTTGGAATTACTGGAATAAGAGAAGCACCGTGGTGGGAAAGGAAGGATGCTTGCCTTCCAGTCTGTGACACTTAAGAGATGATTCCCAAGACTGATCAGATTTGCAGCTTTCCAGAGTGGTTCTAAGCACATGTGTTTCTTCACATGTTTACACTTGTAATTGTGGCACCTACATCAATAGATTGTGCAAGACACCCCACCTACCATCTGGAAGACAAAGGGACATCACTTAACATGATGGGGAAGCCATTCTCATGATTGAAACCCTAGTTGGAAGTTCTTTCGTATGTTAGTCGCACAGAGGTCTCTGAATGTGCAGTTATCTGTGAAAATGCCCATAGTTTTGGTTGAGCCTACTTGTATTCAGACATATCTAGATGGGGTTCCATCCTGGGAATTCAGAAATATTTTGTTACTTAAAATCACCAAACCACAATGTGGGTAAATTATATACAAATCTCAAAAGTCTAAGAATTTTAGCTGTCCTAATTCACTTTCACTGGGTGCTGCCAAGGACAATCTGGTCACAGATGACCACACCAGGGTTACAATTGTGTTTTGATAACCAGAGGCTTAGCTGTCCAAATCTTCCACATTGGATTTTTGGGTTTGTTCCCTCCCAACTCATACCAGTTTTGTTGGGACTTTCCTGGTTTTAGTACTGAAATTACTGTTTCCCAGGAACCTCTCAGTCATTGGCAAATAAGGGCAGAAAGAAACTCTACTTTCTCCTGACACTTTTCATATCCCTTTCTTTTTCTCCCTACCCCCAGCCATATGTTTGTATGTGTACTTGGTTGGAGGAGACATTGTAGACTTCCTCTACAATTTATTCTCTAGTCATTGTAAAATCTGGGGCCTCAGACTACAAAGAGTTCCTGAGAAAATTTTGAAAATTTGTATTCTCTAAATTACACTAACTGTAAATTTTATGCAGGCTTATATATTTCTTTGGTATATTTACCTCTAATTACAAAAGTAGTAACTGGTAAAGCCTATATTTATTAATATCTCTCTGAAAAAGCCATAAAAAGAGCATTTTAAATTCCTTTGTTTATTAAAATAACAAGATATAACTGACAAGGTTCTGGAACTAGAAAAATAACTACAATTAATGATGTGTGTATGCTTTTCCCAACCAAGTTAGATAAATATTTCTACCTAAGTAAAGTAATACTGGTCTATATATTCTACGCAGAGAGTTCTATATGACACATATACACATACAGGAGTTTTATATATTTTGTTGATCTTTAAGTTATTTCTTATTCCTTTGGATTCTGGGTTCTTAAATTATTAAGATTAAACTCAAATTAACACACTGACCTTTTTTCCATGAAAACAGTTATTTAAGACTGAAAACATGAGATAGAACAATAAAAAAATGCATTGAGAGTTACTATATGGCAGGTACCGTTTTAAGTGATTTTTGTGTGTTAATTAAATCCTCAAAACCCACTAAGATTGGTACTATTATTATCATCTGCACTTTACTCTTGACCACTTTACCCTATGGATCAGAGAAGTGATGTCACTTATCCAAAGTCACTGAGCTAGTAGGTAAGGAGCTGAAATTCCAACCCCACAGTCTCTTTAGGGCCTATAACTGTACCCACTATGCCGTCTGAATCTTCAAATATAGGGAACATAACTGATGGTGGAAATGAATACAGAAATTAGAGAGTGGTTAGACTATATTAAAAGAGAAATTTGAATTGTTAAAGTTCATTGAGCTCAATTATTTCATTTTTCTTTCCTGGGCAGAGTGTGGTGGCAGACTGAAAGTGGAATCAAAACCCAGAGATCTGTACTCACATGCTCAGTTTGGTGATAACAACTATCCAGGACAAGTTGACTGTGAATGGCTGTTAGTGTCAGAACGGGGCTCTCGACTCGAATTATCCTTCCAGATTTTTGAAGTGGAAGAAGAAGCCGACTGTGGCTATGACTATGTTGAGCTCTTTGACGGTCTCGATTCAACAGCAGTGGGGCTTGGTCGATTCTGTGGATCAGGGGTAAATACAGTAAAAGCAGGATACCATAGACATGATAAAAATGCCTATAAATTGGTGATTGATATGTGTAACATATGCAAATCAGCAGTGCTTTTACAAAATGGCTTGACAAGTTATAACATGCCTCTTCTTCCCTTACTTCTCCATCTCTAATGAATTTGCTCAATAATATTGAACAAGACAGATGAATTCAATAGCTATAATTTCTTGTTACTGTCCACATCCTTTTTTAATTCATGTTTTTATTGTGCAATAAATATTTAAATGTTTAATTATCTAAAAGCAATATGCCTAAATACACACCTTTGACAATTTTGTAAGCTTCATAAATTAAAGCATAAAGCAAAAAGAATATGTACATCATTGGCATTCCTCTCTCAACAATATATTTGATAAGTGACAGTATCTACCATTGATGTGGGGGTTTGGCCGGTACTATTGAATGTTGCTCCATTGCAGTGGGCACAGGACGGAGTACAAAACATAGGTCAGAGGTTGTCAACATGAGAAATAAGAAACAGGAAAGCTTAAGGTTTTCTCAATGCTTTTCCCCCACGATTCACTGCATTAATATCAAATGTTCTTCTGAATACATATTTTGTTCTGAAGATATTAGTCCCATTTTTCAAATGTCTACCAGTGACTATTTCTTAAATAATATTGAACTCCTGTCCAAATAGCTACAGAAATGAAACAAAAATTATTCTTAGTACTTAGATTATTAAAGCAAGAAGGAATGGACGATTTGGATTCTGGAAGTGGCTCTGCCTCAGAGAACCTTCTGAAATAGATTTAATGTCCCTTTATCCTCTGTGAACCTCACTTTAATTACTTGTAAATCAAAGGAAATTGGCTTAAAATTTTGGGAAAAAACACCAAGTTCCAGAACTTGGAAATAGACTTAATTATGTTCAAAGCTCAGCTATATCACTGATCAGGCTTGTGATCTTGAGTATGTCATCTGTTCTCTGAAACTCAAGTTTTCTCATCTGTATAATAAAGTCACTCTTATCCACTTTTCAATGTTGTTGGGAGGTTTAAATTATATACCAAAAAAATTCCCAAACATGAATTACATTGAAGAAAAAATAATTCATTCTTGTTGTTTGTTTATTTGTTTTGTTTGTTTTTGTCTTCAGCCACCAGAAGAGATCTATTCAATTGGTGATACAGTTTTAATTCATTTTCACACTGATGACACAATCAGCAAGAAAGGATTTCATATAAGATACAAAAGCATCAGATATCCAGATACCACGCATACCAAAAATTAACACCATAAACTCCACCAAAACATAAAGGAATGGGCATAATGGAAAGAAGATGTATTTCTTTTTTAAATGAAGATTTTAGCACAAAGTTTTATATAATGAGTTTGAGCAGAAGAAAACTGCAAGACCAGAATTATCTTTGTACTAAAAGAGAAGTTTCCAGCTAACCCTGATCAACATTACCAAGATATCTGAACTTCATTCTTGACAGTATAAATATAAATAAAGTTGGTGAAAGGGGATCTCATGCTTCAAAGAAGACTTCACAATCCTTTGTTCACAGCTCACCATAGCTGCTTCACAATTCAGACAGTCCCATTCAGGGTCTGTGACCCTGCAGAGTGTCCTTTTTGACAATTTTTCAATATATGGGAAAAGTAAAATGACCTCGCAGGTCATAAACTGGAACACCCTCTCCTTGTGTCTTAGGATAATTGCTTTGACTTTGGATCTTGAAGACAGTGTAAACCAGACCCATATAAGTTGTTGTGAAGTGGGAGTCTCTTGAGGGTGGTTTATACTTTAAATGTGGGTATGACCAATGCTTGGAAACTGGAATATTTCAGCTTCATTATTTTCACTTGCAGGCTAAAGTTACCTCTTTGAAACATAAATGATCTCAAGACCACTTCTTTTTTGTGACGTTCTGACAAGTTTGAAATGTCAATACTGTCTATCATTGCAGTTAACTCTAGAAATCATTTTTTTAAGTGCTGGAAAATGCCCAGTTGAATGGTAAACTCAGTTCTTTCAGTGAAAGTGCTGTCTTTTCATACCAAATTCAAGAAGTCTTGTGATGTCTTATGAACTTGATGAGACAATTCCCAACAGGTGTGAACAAGATTCTTCTAAGCAACTGCCTGGATGGTTCATACTCAAGTTCCACTGCTGCTATTGTCTTTCTTTTGTTGTTGATCTGTTGTAGTTGTTAATGTTGATGTTGTCATGGTTAATGTATTTTTTTTTAATGAAATGAAATGAAGTGGAAGTAGGCCTTGTTAGAATTGAAAGATCTCTTTCTTTCTCTTCCTAGAAATCAGTTTTTTTTAATGCAGTATTGAAAAAAAAATGATTTGTTTCTGAAAGACTTTCCATGGTGCTATTCCATAAACATTTTTTTAAACAAAGTTTTTGACCTTTGAGCCAACCACATGTAGACTATGAATGTCTCTGTCTGGCTGGTAGCACTTGAAGACTAAAGACTTAATATATCAAGAGTATATCATTGCAAGGGCAACACTTGTCCTGTGGAACAACTGCTTATATTGCCTTAGAATTCTTTCACATGATCGAGCAGATCCTCCTAAGAGACAAAACTTTTGAGAAGTTTAACATAATAGTGTATGTTAATTAGCATTTCCATGAGGAAAATCCATTTCTGTGACTGAGAGCATTGGATATAAGTATGGTGACCTGCTTTTATGGTAGAAAATGAATTTTCTGCTTTAAAGGCAGGTTTTTAAAAAAAATATTAATGTATGTATATGTGAGGTTGTCTGAATGAGTGGAGTTACAAGGAGGTGAAAAGTAGTGAGTGGTTTAAAAGTTTAAATTTACTTGCCAATTTCTACTAAAATCCTATTTAAAGTAGCACCTTTCATAGGACGTTTCATGGACAAATAATGGGAACTTCTAATTATTATCAACCCCATTTTAAAAAGTCTCCTTCCTTCAGAGAAACTCTATTTTCATATTTTTTGATGTTGATATAGATTGCTATATGAAGTAGCTTTTGTTCTGTTACCTGTCCATGAACATTCAACATTTAATAAAATTGAAAATTTTTCTTCATTTTACAAAATTAAACTATACACACAGATTTAGCTTATTTGTTTTTTTGGTTTTTTTTTTTGTCATTGTTGCCTTGGAAATCTTTTCTTGCATATGAATTTTATTATTTAAATACAATTTTAAAACCAGTCTTTTGATCTTACTGAATGTTACTTTGGAAATGTATAACCAACGCCTGCAATATAATGAGTTTTTAGTGGAGCTGATTTATTCCAGTAACTCTTCTATATTTTTTTTCACTAATCTCCAGTTAGTCAAAATATTGGGAATGGGAATTAGAGGAGAAAAGAAACATTAACACCTAATATACTACACTGTGCCCAGCCCAGTACTAGACACATACACTAGCTCTTTTTAATGTTTATGCCACCCTTTGAGAACTGTGGTGATGTTCTCATTTTGTGGTTTAGGAACTGAGGCTCAAAGAAGGCATATAATGTTCCCAGGGTCACAGTGTAAAGTTAGATGTTAAAACCCAGATTGTTTGATATAAAAATCTGTGTTTGTTCTACAAAATATAGTAGAATCAATCTTGACCTATATAAATAGTAGATATATTTTATGATGAAACTTCTCCACATAAAGTCAATTTTAGAGGTGAATTACAGTAAAACTTTCAGGATAAGCATTGTTCCTTTCAGTAATAGCATGACAATTCACATATCAACTGTAGATATCTTTAAGAACCACAGGTAGTACTAGAAATGTGAAAAAAAAAACCTACTATATAGTTTGGAGTTAGTAACTATGGGCCTTTTGTTAAAATAAATAAATTATTTTATCTGGTGTGGTAGGAGAAATGTAGTGTTCTACTTTAAGAAATATTGTTGATATTCTGACTGACATCTTATTAGGCCACAATTAGCTGCCTTGACACAACTGAGAAATAAAGTATTTAGAAGGCACACCACAGAGATGTTGTCATAACTTAGGTCTTCAATGGGAACATTAATTTTTTATTGTACCTTATGTCAGATATCAGCTCACTGAATATTATTTTTATATTAATTCGACTTTGGCTTAAGTGTGTTGTTAAATTCAAACACAAACAGCTTCATTGTTATTGTGTTAATAATTGTTAATTACTGTTCTAGGCATTTTATTCGTTTTGTAAATTTATGTTCAACCTCTACTCTCTATCTGCCAAAGTTCTAACTCCTATATAATCCTCACGAACTATACAGAGAAAAAACTGCTCCCACTTTATATGATTTTACTAAATTATTTTTAAATTCAATTTTGAATATTAATCTAGTTTATTTAGGAAATCTTGACAACTGAACAAAACAACATTTTTAAATAAATATATGAGAAACAGCAATTCTATTTCCAAAGTCTCCAAATGTCCCCTGCCTGTGTTGGCTGAATTTTTGCTATCTTGGATTAATTTTAGTATATCACAGCTATCAGATTCAAATTCTGTTCAATTTTGTTTTTAAATATCTTAGTCTCTTTTGTTTGGTTTCTATTACTATATTTTTGATAGTAAGCCTCAAATAATGAAATTTTATTCTCACATATAGAAAATCTCTAAAAGCATCTAATTACTCTTCACAAGGCTAAAATTTTTTTTAAAAGAAACATTAAATTACATATTTCTTTAGATCTAGTAAACTATAGCCATGTGTGACATTAAAAATAACTTTTCTTAAAGCAATTAACAAAATGTTTGGAATTTTTATTTAACAATAATTTTATTTAGCAAGAATATTTTGGATAAAGGAAAACCTTAATACCACTTATTAAATCCTGCATGGGAGGAAGAAAACAGGAAAAATAATTACCATATAAATATCTATAACATGAGCTGCAGTGATGACTTCTGTTTTACTAGAAAAAATATGTAATATGAGCTTATCAAAAAGAAAAAAAAGATGGTCTATGGATGCATTTTTACATCAATGCATAATAAATGGTTACCAATGAACATTTAACTTTTAGTCTTTTAGTGCTATTGTTATAAAATTGAGAAATTTTGTCATTAGCTTAGGAAATGATGGAAAAGCTGGCTCTTATACAACGTGAAATATTATTATTAGTCTCCAAACTTTCTTTTGACATGTACTTTTTAAATTGTTCAGCTTTCAACCTACCTACATTTCACTCCCCACCAGTGTACTTAAACTGAATTCAGGCTTACCATGTAATTCTAGTCAATACCATGACACCTACTTGGTGCAGAGGTCAACACAAGGTGATTCCAAACAGTGTATAGGGCCCTGAGCATGTCTCATACATATAATCTCCCTCTGGTTCAATATTTTGAATACAAATTCAGTGCAATAAATCTCAACTTCTAACTTTAGAAGACTTGTAAAATATTACTTGGGTTAAAGCCTATAAAAAGAGAAGACCTAAGCACCAACCTGTAGTGTAAGACATGTGGATAGAAGGCCCTGGCAGTTGGGTCTACCCTTGCATTTGCTGCCAGAGCAGAGGTGTTTGAAGTGGCAGGGAGAAGTCCATTTCAAGGAATGCCCTTAAAATTATTTAAACAGAACACCTAGAAAGGACAAATAAAGTGAAAGGATTATAGATAATAAGGCTTAAATATGTAAATCTATCCTAAAACAATATTTAATGGACATTCCATAGAGGGGTATAATTACAAATTAAATTGCAGAAAAATTTTCCACAGAGATGTAATAAATTTGTTAAAGTCATTTTTACACAATTGTACATCTATTAGTTGTGTTTGAATTTCATGGAAATAGAGTCTTTTGTATTATTTTTTGTCATTTTTAAGCCAAAAGACATAGACATTTATTTACTCAACAAATATTTGCTTAATGCCTATAATATGCTAAGCACTATGTTAAATATTAAGAATTTAATGAGACTTTAAAAATAAAAACAATCACAATCTTTTCTTTCTTGAAAGTTAAATTCTAGTTGGAGAGATAAACATTAATATTAATTAAAAGCAAATCACAAAAAGGCATAATTGCAATATAAAACATACATGTGCAGAATTCCCTGGCAGTTCAGTGGTTAGGATTCCATGCTTCCACTTCAGGGGGCACAGGTTCGATCCCTCTTCAGGGAACTAAGATCCCACGTGCCACTGTGGTGCAGCCAAAAAAAAAAATGCATGTGCATTTTGCTACAATTTTGGGGGCACTCTTCCAAACAGTATGGTTTGGATTTTGAGACAAGTATTATCATAAACATCCTTTCCTTATCCTTGATTTTCCACTGTCTTCTTACTTACA